TTATATGTAAATAAATGCAAAAATCCTAGCTCCTCACTTTGTTATTTTAGACAAACTTTTGGGAGCCTACGACCCCTGGGCGAATTTGTTCGACATCTAGGACATCTAATCAATCAATAATCGACGAGCAGATTGATCTATATGGCCTCACGGATCACGAAACCACCAACAGGTTTCCTTTCTCGTTAGCCGTCTTTGAGGTGCTAAAAACAATATCCAAACCCGAGATTACATCAACTGGCTCACGACGTAATCCTTGAAAGTTTCGTTGCTACGAACACACCGACCGAATGTACGACAGTCGAACAGAGCTCCTCAAAGGTCGAGTGCAAGTCAGCCACCGCAAGGGCAACGAGGAAGTTTGACTTTGGGGCTGTGCGCGTATGCCGTATGCGTTGTGGTGACGTCACATCGTCACCAGGTCATTGGTGCAATTATTATTACACGCACCGCGGCCGCCCTCTCTGTCCTCGTTGCACAAGTGGGGCCCGCCGCACCCGAGACCGGCTGCACCGTGGCGAGCGCGAGAAAGACAAAAGATCAATCGGATGTCGCCCGGGCCGGGCGCGTGATCGCGGGGAATGCATGTCAGGGTCTGGCCCGACACACACGTTGCCTATATCAGATCGAGGCGATCGGCCCCGCGGTCCGCCCCGCGACACGTCGCACCGGGGCAGGTGTCAAATTAATCCAGCGCGCTGGTCTAATTCGACACAATGGTGCCATTCACACCATTACCCATTCAGTCATTGATCCGCCCTTGAGGTCCGGCCGCCGGCCGCCCGCCCTCGGGGCTGCCCTAGCACCGCACCGCCCGCCCGCCGCCGCTCCGCACGGCTGGGCTGCGAGACCCGGGCGTCGAATGGGTGGCCTACCCTTAAAGGCGACCGGGAGTCGGATGGGTTGCCCGCCTCTCGGGCGGGCTTCTCTCTTCAAACACGAACAGCGTCTCGCTATCTGGCAATGCATTTTTATTGGTCAAATTAATATCGAATCCTTGGCTCTTAAAATTATTTAACCTCGATGTATACCTAATTATAAAACAATCTACACAGTAGAAAAATTAATTGTATATACAAAAAAATGTCTTA